AAGCACCTTATTTGCTAAGAAAACTTTTTTTTTCTCTGAAAAAAAAATGCAAAAAAAAATCATATAGAACAATTAATTTTTAAGTCATTTGATTCAGGTTTTATCTTTACAGTAAAGATAAAACCTGAATCAATTGACTTAGAAATTGATTGCAGTTAACCAACTTTTGGCAACACGCTTAAGTAACTATAAAAAATGATAGAAATGGAATGTTAAAACTATGTTTTTTATATGGAGTGGGTCTTCGTACTATTTTTTGTAAACAAATATTGAAAGGGTATGGAAGGATGTATCTCTCACCATTTTCAAAAAAATGGTACAAAGACCCACTGTGGCAACGCACTTTGAAAAAATTACGCACTTTGAAAAATTTTTTCATAGTGCGTTAAAATTGGGACACAATCAACGCACTTCGAAAAAAATTTCAAAGTGCGTTAAATTTTGGACCAACTCAACGCACTTTGAAATTTTTTTTCAAAGTGCGTTAAGAGTCTACATCAATATATTTTACCATGGACACACTTAACGCACTTTGAAAAAAAAAATCATATTTTATTCATGGAAAGATTTTATTTGTTATTTATCTTTCAAAAAACTAAGCCTAACCCTAACCTCAAAAATGAATTGATTTACTCCAGTCGAAAAGAGGAGAAGACGGGTATAAGATCCCTCAGTCCAAATCTTTAATCTTTCCAATACATAGGTGTCGGTAACAAACGGGGGAAGGGAGCAATAAACCTAAAAAGGGTACGCTGCATTTTCAATGCTTATACGATGTATATATCTTTCCAAAATAAGTGGGGGGCTTAACCCCCCTCCCCTCCCCTGGACCTTTGCCAAGTCTCGATGTCTATGCTATACTCAAAGCATTCATAAAATTATGTATTTACCTAACTGGTTTAGTGTTGAAAACTTTCAATAATAAATGAGTTAATTAAAACAGATGAAAGCTAGAAATTTTAAGTACAGTAAAACGTATGAGAGAGAAAATTTTTTCATAGTTTTGAACAATCAAATTGGCCCCTTTTTATTATGATAAATGCTAAGTTGCTTGAAGCTGTCCTCTGTTAGTGCCCCCTATTCACCTTTACATCTACTTATCAAAGACTAGAATTAAAAAAAAAGAAACGAATTAATGATCTTAAACAATCGACACTCTTTTTTTCAAGACCCTTTAATTTTCCCTTTTATTTTATCAACACCTTAAATATTTAAAACGTCAGTATCTCAGGTCCTACAGTGACTTTATCAAAAAAGAAAGTTATCAAACAAGGATCTGTTATTCATCATACCGATTATTTGAAGGAATATTGATCAATCATTACATTTTTTCAAAGTGCGTTAATATGGTCGATATTAACGCACTTTGAAAAAAAATTATCTTTTTCAAAGTGCGTTAGCTTGGTCCCAAATTTTAACGCACTTTGAAAAAATTGTTCAAAGTGCGTAATTTTTCAAAGTGCGTTGTAACAACCCACTCTATATAAAAACATTAGTTTACCTACTTAAATTCTGGAACATATTCTCTAAAACTCTTCAGTCCTATTGTGTGTTTGCCATACATAATAGAACTGTTTGTTATTTAAAGGCTCAGTGGTCATAGCGGCGGTGTGAAGCACCAAGTTATTTGTCGCGAGTTTTCGAATCATAGTACATGTATAATTTTTTTTTTTTAGTTCAGGTTGAAATTTAGATAAATACAATATATTTTTTCTCTTAAACAAAAAAATAAATAAATAATGAATTTATTTAGGGTAAACAAATATATTACCCATAATAAACAAGTTTTCAAGATATATAACATTTGTAAATTCATTCAGTTCAAGACTACATTACACGATTAAAATGTAAACAATCACTGTATGCATATGGTTATAAATAATTGCTAAATTTAACAAAAAGTGGAATTTGTAAGATTTTTACAATTTATATTTTACCTTCCCTTGCGTAGGCATATGACTCGCCTAATCCCCCCAGATTCTTTCTGGTGATCTTTCTTTGAATGTCGTATAAGTAATCTATTGCTTGTTAATGCAATTTCAATTTTTGATCCCCCAAGTTACACCTATAATGCAGTGCATGAATACGTGTCTTTCTCGCCTGAATGTATGGTGGTCCTGTTGTGCATTTTGCGAATTACAGTTGTTTAGGACCATTACCAGTTTAGTTTGGACTTTCAGCAAGGCGTGGCATTCTCGACGTTACCTAATTAGCTTCTGAAATTTACACAACTTTCCTTCACTGTTAAAATACTGTAGTATGCATAGGATAGAAATTCGACCGAATGTCAACTGGTGTAGTAAATAACCAATTAAAAGTTCTCCCATGGCACAGAGGTGGGGCATAAGTCGTCTCATCGTTGTCAACAACAATTTAAAGTTCCTGATGTTATTAATCTCTTAACCAATGAGATTCTACTAGTATTCATCATTACGTAGCGCCGAGAATGCCACGCCTTACTGAAAGTCCAAGCTAACCTGAGAACTGTCCTATGTTCCTGCCTACAAGAAGTTTGAATGCACTTCTTGTAATATCTTGTTGCAATAAATGTATGATTGCAAAATGGTTTTCTACTTTTTCTTTGCCATTTCAAGTATGTTAAAAATACTTTGGCACTCAGCTCAAGGTATTAAAGGTACACCTATCAGTGTGCGTTCCTTAATTTTCAATTAATGGTAATGTTTTCTTTTTGAAAGGGGATTCAACTAACTGGTAAAAATGGCGGAAAGTGTTGTGACGTTTTTAAAGAAAGGCGTTATGTTATAATTGACGTTCAAAACATGACTCAGAACTTTTCGTCCAAAAGGAAAATTTTACCACTTCAATGCGCTTCATTGTATCGGATATTGCAACGTAGAAATATTGTAATCCCAAATCTGATAAAAATCAAACTTTTATGGGACGATTTTATTTTTTCAAATAAAGGTCAACAAACCATACACACCAATTATTACAATATATGTACATGTACATATGTATAAACATACACACTGTTACAAAACGGTAAAACAGATAAGATATAAATTCAAAGAATAAAAATGGCACAAATATCACAGACTCAAAATACGAACAATTAACATTAAAATTTAATTATCACAGAATATCTTTCACCCATCACTCACGCGACGAATCGTTTTCTCCTACTGTTCTGGAGACTTGTATTTCCATGATGCTTCTGAATTCTTCAAACGACGACGCATCATCCGAAATTTGCAAATTTACGATATTCTCTTCCACACATGCATCATACTCCACGTTTATATTATCCAGCCCTCTACTCTCGCCACTTCCGAGATCTCGAGCAAGAACAGGCTGAGATTCCGGTACGTCGTGTTCACGTATTTTGTTGCGTACGTATGACAGGCTCTGTGGATCAAACACTCCTTCTGATTGTGTTTCGTTCCTAGTTGAATCTCCTGAAAATAAACGCATTTAAATTTGAGTTTGTATGCATAGGTTTATTTCTTCTGCTTTTGAAAGACGTAAATATTTGTAAAAAAAATCATTTCTCTTGCTCTGTAAGATAAACAAGCAATGTCTCTTGCTCTGTAAGATAAACAAGCAAATTCAAAGAATTGTGGTCCCTGAAAATTGCTTTCAGTTTTAATGGATGGGATACCATTATTCGTGGTATGTTGTGTCAAATATGAAAGTCCTATCATATGTCATTCAAAGGTAATCACTAAAGTTATTTTCTTAATTATGTCAAACATGATCGAAGGTCAAGGTCAAGCCTGAAGGGGTAAAAATTATAGCATGATTAGAAATATATTGACAAGTAATGGACAAGTCAAATATGAAAATCAATCAACGTCATAAGGAAATATAACATCTTTAAAAAGTATGTCAAACTTAAAGGTCAATGTCACATGGTCCTTTTTGTGATTTCAAGACGAACAGGATGACAGACGGAGAAACTGATAGAGGAATTAGTTTTAATGTTCCCTCGCTGCCAAGGCATAACTTTAAACCACAGAAAATGTTCATAATTGAAAGTCCGGTTACCATCCCCCCTGAAAGTACTGAAAGAAGCCGCCCCCCCCCCCCCCGCCCCTTAATCAATAAAGCATTTTTTAAATTCAGATTTATTTCATTAAATACGAAGGTTGCTCGAAAAGTTCGTGGACGATGTCAATCTTCTTATATTACTCACTAAAAATTTAAAACAAGCATAATACAACATGTAAAAATATTTGTTTTGTCAAGATGTGTGAAGTTTCATTCCATTCGATTCAACAGAAATCAATTTACTTCATTGTAAAACCCAACATGTTTTGTACCTGCAGAGCACACTTAACGGCTATGTAACGTCAAAACATAGCGTCAAGAATTTCTAAAAAATACTATCCATATACATTTCACACAGTATAATTCAATGCCCACTCATTAAATTCTTTTTCTAATACTTGACATTTATTTTTTAAGAATTGCTCTCGTTGTATAATTTCTTTGTTAAAATTTTAATTTCTTTTATTTCTTAACGGATAAGCAACTCTGAAGCGCCTATGTCTTTCCTTGACGTTCCAGCTTTTAAAAGTTTTTGCTCAGATTTTTACAGTTAACCCTTTTCTTCACAGATTGTCCTCATCCGATACAGAGTCTCTGTCACTAAAACACTGCATGTACTATTAGTGCACACATTCACAATTCGTTTGTGACATATTTATTTGATTCCTCCAACATTTTCCCTGAGTAAAACACAAAATTGCACCGTTATCTGCTGCTCCGTGATGTTCTATAACGTCATCGTTTTCAATGAGGATTACCTATCTTTTGATTTCTTTTTAACAAAGCAAAATATTAAGCCATAATTTGGAATACGAATCGATGTAACAATTCTTAATTTGAATTTCTAGTTTGTTTTTCGTTTCTGCTCTATTTTACAGAGAATATGACTACAGACATTATTTAGTGTATTGTTTGTAAGTTACTAAACTTTAACGTGCTCCGCGATCCGATTTTTGCATTTTTAAAATCTGAGTAAGTTTTGAATAAATTGTGAGATTTTAAAAAATTAATACAAATCATTTGGATGTACATGTATTGTTAAAATATTTCTACCAACATTTGGATAACATATGACGTCAAATAAAAAAGATATGACAGAAGTCCGCGAACTTTTCGAACAACCCGTATATACGTATATATATATATATATATATATATATATATATATATATATATATATATATATATATATATATATATATATATATATATATATATATATATATATATATATATATATATATATATATATATATATATATATATATATATATATATATATATATATATATATATATATATATATATATATATATATATATATATATATATATATATATATATATATATATATATATATATATATATATATATATATAAAAGCAAATATTAGAGATTTTAAAATTTATGAGGACAAAGACAGGCCATATAAAGTTCTTTTATAAGAGGATTCTTCCACCATTAGTGTACTGAATTGATTTGAGACAAAATAATGATTCCAATTTTAACTTCAGACGTTTTTCCGAGAACAAAAGAAATCGTCCAAAGTGAAAGAAATCACATAGTAGAAAACATTATTTCATGAAACCGAACGATACTTCAGTATTTACCTATTTGGAATACTTGTTCTGAAACCAAAGAACTGTCAGTAGATTTATCCACCAGATACTGAGCTTGATCACAGAAAAGAACGTCTGATATCATACTGATGGGATTTTTTAATGGAGATATATTCTGGAAATCCTTTGGTGGCTCTTGTGGCTGTGTAAATTTGAAAATTTATGGTAAAGTAATAGTTTCTTTTACCAATCAACAAATCAAATACATGTATATGTAGATATATTTTTAAAATTGTTAGTACAAAACCTCGTCAGCTGAAAACAGCAGTCCTCGAAGAACTAGATCCATATCCTTAAGCTGTAACTCTAGTTTTTGGATATATCTTTGCTGTTGAAGCACCACCAATTTCTGCTCATTTATCTGCAATAACAAAATAAATTATTATAATGAGAGAGAGAGAGAGAGAGAGAGAGAGAGAGAGAGAGAGAGAGAGAGAGAGAGAGAAAGGGGGTAGACCTTAGATTGACGACTGAAATCCAGTGCCATTGCTTTTTCTATTGAACATCTTTGGTGCAGCATCAAATCGACAATATCTTCTGTAGAATGCACATCTTTCTTTACTTTATTGAGGTGTCGATCTTGCACTGAAATAAACATTAACATTATTTTTAAGTTTGACCTATATTTGTAAATGTTACGTAATATACATGTAACAGTTTATGCTTTTAACTAGATCTTTTTAAATGAATAATATGGCTTATACTTTGGTGTCGGATTCGGTTTTGTGAACTACTCTTGGTGAGTTCGGTCATCAACACTTGGATCTCCTCTGTTTGGCGGACGATCTCGTTGTGCAGTTGAGTCTGTGTCTGAACCCAACTCGCTTCTTTGTCTTGTAAATATTCCTGCAATTGTCAGTTTCAGAAATACATTATGGCAAATTATCGTCTTGTACGTATTGATATTAACTGTAACAGACGATTTAAAGATGTTTGCCAAACTAACGTGTATCTTCTCGTTGTCCGCCCTCAGTTTCCCATATGTACCCTGCACAATCCTGGCGTACTGCTCTACTCTCAAGGCATGTTGGGCCGACAAAGCTCCCAGATGAACAAGGTCTATTACAGGAAAAAACACAGAAAATTTGCTCATTCAGATTGTGCAAAGGATGAAGTAAATATGTTAAAATTAGGATTCTTTATAATAGTTATTTACCTCCAATATCAGATGTGAAATGTTCAAATCTAGATTGCAATTCGCCAAGCAAAACCAAAAGGTCTTTAAGAATATTCTTATTGTCTTTGCACTCTGTGAGATTTCCTGTTTCACTGTCATCTGACGTATCTTTGTCTGTTTTCTGGTCCTTTTCGTTGACATCCCCGACGTTTTCTTCCTCTTTATCAACTTCTTTTGGCATAAATTCTTTTGAATCTGTTCTCTTTTCATTTGATTGTTCTTGTTCTTGGATTTCAGATAATATGCCGCTATTTAAGCAAAGTTTTTCAACACAGCAACGTAACATAACAAATACTTCCTCCAATGCATAGTCGGAGCATTCTAAAAGATCGACTCTGCGTTCATACTCGGCCAAAAAATCTATCTTACTCGAGCTAGCATCACTTCTTGCGTCATTGACCAGTCCATCAGTAGGATTCGACGAAATAGACTGCACAGTATCATTCAAAGACTTGTGAGGATAAATGATTTCACGACTGTTTTTCTCGCTCTTTGTTGAACGTTGCAAATTAATATGGTCATTCTTGCTTGAAGATCTACTGGTGGAAAGCAAATCGTCACTTTGTGATCGCCGTATGATGGAAATGTTTTCGTCTAAATCAAAACTTACATCATCTTCCTGTAACCAAAGTGGAACTATCTTCTCTCTGAAGAATGGCACTGCACCATGAACAAAATATTTGTGACTGTTATCGTCATCATGATCATCTCTTTTGATATTCAGGTCGAGGTTCTCTTTTATCATTACAGATTCACAAAACTGTTCATTCTCATCTGGTAAATGATCCGAAGAGTGCACATTCATACACTCCTCAATTACTTTGTCAAGAAATACATCCGTAGAGTCTACAAATTCTTCATTTGTATCTGAAGTTGTTTGGTCTGCCATTACTTTACAAGACTTCTTACGTCATAACATGCAATATCTGACGTCACGCGCCAATATATATATATATATATATATATATAGCCTAGTGTACACATTCTACTGGCTTATAAGGGCTTCATAACATATGATTGTGAAAAACTATTCTAAACAAAAAATATTCTTAAATGGGAAGTATTTTGTCAAGTTTAAATTTTTTAAAAACTTGTTTCACATGTTTTCCAAATTTATCCGGGTTTTATTTTTCATTTTTTTCTGTTATATTACGGATCGACTTCCGGTGTTTGCTTATTTCACAATATGAGAAAAAAGTTTAGAAATAAATGTAGAAAAGGTAAAGAGAGGATTAACCCCTGCGCTATAGGCACGGAACAGCGGATACAGAATGGTTGGAGTTTTCTGCTATTTTCATATATGTCCAGATGTTGTATTTTCTCATTATTTAATCTTTAGCACAGATTTAAAAAATCTGTATTTAAAGTTGAAAATATTTCGTTCGTATCTGCAGTCCTGTGAATTTTATACAAAAGAGTCACAGATTTAAATCCATTAAATAAAGAAGTGAGAGTGTGATTAAATATTGGATTTTTTAATCTACCTTTTACAGATGTAACAATTGGTGATTTTGCGGACTCATCTAAAGTACCCAAACAGGGGACAACTAGAGTGAAGAAAGCTATTTTGTCCATATCAACTAGTATTAAACGTAAGATTGTGTGGATAAACAATTTCATTGAAATACACATTCACTTGGAAGTTGTTTAATCTCCCATCCACCCGATAGAAATATTGTAATATTTATCCAATGCATTCCCTTAATGATTTAATCTCGGCGAGATGTCGTAGGGACTAAAAATTTTGGTCTGGAATCCCTACGACATCTCAGCCCAGTGTCTAACAAACTTATTTGGTTTTTTTCCCCCAACTTTAACCTCTTGTTTCAATCAATATTAAAGAGCTGAAATGAATTAGCTGCCCGCTTCAACTTTTTCCTTTCGACACCCTTTTAAGTCTCTATCGCTATAAACTTTCGGATTGGCCTCCGCAATACCAACTGTTTATTTTATCAAAAATACAATAAAATTAGCAATGCGGTTACCTCAGAACGGATGCGTGCGGGTCTGAGAACCAGAATTTCAATTTTACGTAGCCTGAAAAGTGTGTGTTTCTTTGGTGTGTATGCTGTCAATCTGTTTTCTGTACAACAAGTCTGTGTAATATTTAATAGCCCTCTTTAAAAATGTATATATTTTTTTCTTTTTTCTCAGACCAAAGAAAAGGCATAGAGATGGATGTTGATGACGTTAGCTGGTTTGATAAAGACTTGGATGAATTTGACATAAGTACTGAAGAATCAGGTAAATACTTTGATGTTTTACATCTTAATAGTTTGTCATTATGTATGGAGTTCTTGATTGATTTTGTTTTAGATTTAACTTAGAATGCTGCAAGCACAGTTTTAATTAAACTGTGAATGCTTGTTCATAGCATAGGCATAAAGAATTTTTTACACAGATTGTCCACTGAAATCATAGACAACTATATTTATTGAAAAACAATGTGCATACTATGCTGACAGTTTTAGTAAATGTTTAATCATATTTGAGAAAATCACATTTTTGGAAAAATGTAGACAAAAAATAAAAATTTTTATTTTATTGGAATGTGTACAGGGTATGGTCCTTTAGCACATGACCAAAAGGCTGGTTTCCTTGAATATGCAAGTAATATTTTGAAGTGAAAGTAGTAAATAGTTAGGGTTGTAGTAAAAAAATCAAAGTACTCAGAAGTACAGAGAGCCGGGCTCATTTACAGAGTAGAATGAATTTCTTACATGAATCATGTTTATATTCTGATGAAAAAATTATTTTAAAACAAGCAATATAAATTATAAGACACTGCCAGTGAGTTTTTCAATCCTAATACCACGGTCCGATTTTGTCAGAATCAGAATTAATCTGGTACCGCACTGAATGTAAACAAACAGGCCAGTCTGGTTCCCTCACCTGCTTTACCTCGTATGTGTAGAGAACTACGATAACACTGATTATCAAAAATCCTTACACTAATGAACTATGTTCTTTGACTTAGGACTGAAGTTTTCAAAGTCATTACTACTAATGTTTATTTATATAGATAAAACTTTGTTTTATTTGTGTTGCTTTATTTAGCGTTTGCATTATCTCAAAAGCGGTTGAGAGTAAGAACTATATTTTTGCACGTAAGGCCATAATAAAAATATTCCTAGATTCTCATCCCCGCCCGCCCCGATTTTAAATCCCTGCCTCGATTTTTTTTATTTCTGTTTTTCTTCGTCTTAATTCTGATCGGGATCGGTATTCATCTACCGTTCTACTTTCGTTTTAAATCCCGCAAAAGTCTACATGATTTTGACAGCTGAAAAGATGGTAATTGCTGTAATACATGCGTATATATTTCAAGGGTCATTGGTTGAAAAAGATTGGTGATGATGTGAAGTGAAAGATAATTGAACCTTTACTACGACTTTTATTTGGGTATTGTAGATAAAATTACACCGATTGACCAGGTCAATAAAAAATCTGCAAAATTGAAAAAATAAAAAATATATAAAATAAAAGCCGCCCGCCCGCCTCGATTTTTAAAAAAATTCGGATGAGAATCTAGCAATTTATTTATTATGGCCTAACTTTAAAATGGCGACTATGGGGTTGACTTCCTGCCTTGAACAGGATGACATAAGCCGGAAATTGCTCTTTGAGCAATAAGCCCGGCTAAAAATCATACCATTATTTAAGTAAATAGATGTATTTTGTCATTTGAAAAATTCATCAAGGAATGGTCCCCATGTCCTTCAGTAAGATTCGAACCTGTGACTAAATGTATCAACTCCTTACAAGGAGATGCATCCTGATGATTAATTGTTTTAGTTTGAGTAATTTTACTAATGCAAAGTGTCCAAATACACTTAGTCTAGAGAATCATATTTCTTTAAATCATTGTCAAGGGGTTAGTGGTCTAGAATACATATTTAAAATTTTACAAACAAATATATAAGTAATACTAAAAGAAACTTTCAAGAGTAATAGGGTGACATTAAAACTTACTGAAATATGCAAACATTAATTCCTACATCATGTGTATTTCAAAGTAAACTTAGAAGAGCAGCCTAGCCAATGGTACATAAGATAGCATTGTAGTACTATGGTGTTTTGTTTTCTTTGGAGGTATGTACTATGAACTCCTATGCAGTGGAAGCTAATTATTGACATTTCTAATATTTAAACCAGACATAACAGAGATAAAACCTGTAAGAACCCTGAAGAAAAGCAGGAAGAGGGACAATGATATAGGGAGTCTAGTGTACCCAGTGGATGTGTGGTTTACTCTGGCAGCATATATTGATCCAGAAGCTGTGGGCAAATTTGCAGCTATTTGTCGGGATTCTTACCTTGTAACAAGGACAAGGCAATTCTGGAAAAACCTTTATACCAGGTATATCTAGCATTATATTTTAAGTGCTTGTCTCAGTATAAATCATGCACATCTGTCTAGAAGAATCAATCTGTGACTAATTTATTATTTTGTTCATGGAAGTGGTTTCCTATAACACAATCTTAGAAAAAATATTTTTGCCCATATCCAAGAAGATTACATCCTATGAGGCTGTTACTATCAATAGCATTTTCACATGAAAAATTTGTTAAATATTAATATGCAATTTATTTGTTCTTACTACAGACCTGATAAATAAATAAGATACTAGTATTGCAGAGTATTTTTGTTATTCTCTGTTTTGTAGATTTTGTATAGATAATACAGATCTCCCTGATCAACTTCAGTCAGAATGCCTAGAGAGAGCCCAGGGACTAAGATACAGGGTCATCAGGGCATTATTTTGGACGTATCCCCTCTTTGTGACAAGGACCACTACCAATTTGCCATTTGAAAATGAACCATATCATTTGAAAGGAAACAGATGTTTATATACTTGGTTTGAACCATTCAAAAATGTCTGGAATTTCTCTTTTAAGTTTAAAAAAGAGCGACTCTCACATCTCAACAAATTGACAACTCTAAATAAATCCTTACCGGGCAGGGTGAACTTGTACGATGGCTATTGTGATGTGTATGGTCATGAAGAAATTGATTGTTATGTATTACAAGTGACGTGCCAAAATTTCCAGAGAGTGTCGTCTGTGATGGGACTTGTCTTGTGTAATGTTTACCTGAAAGTGAGTCAGGAGAACCGCTTCTACTGTTTACGTCTTCATTTTGATTCCTCAATGAAAGAGTCAACCAATCAGAACAGAGACGTAGTGGGTGATACTGTGATTTTATTGGACCGTGTAGTCAATCTAAAAGTCTTCCCGTGGTGGCATTCTAAGTATCCCTTTTAGAAAGCTTTCATTGATTATAAAGCTTTTCAATTTAAAGTCATGTTCAAAGTAAATAATAAGATTTGGTTTTAAAAATTAGAGATGTAAATTATCATTTATAAACAAAGATTTAATTCCTGACTTGTTTGATGATAATGTTTTTTCAGAATTAAAGGTGATGAATGTCATCTCCATAATTATATGTACATGTAGGTGTTCCTATACATATCAGTCATTCTTATGGAAATTATCTCAAAAGAAAGATTTAAAATGTATCTAACTTGGGGTATGAATAATTAATTTGTATTCTCGTCATTGTTTTGAAAAATCTGTGATATCTACCAGGGATAATGCTCTCAAGTTACTTCATATATTTACGATAAGGTTTACCTTGAAGTGAAGATTTTGTTGGTGCTGAAATACCAACAACAAAAAAAAGAAATCAAGCAAATTCTGGCAATGCATGTTGATGTATATCCTCCACTTCAGTTCAGTAGGTGGAGTGGTTAAGAAATTGTGTTGAAATAAGGTGATATATTGACAATAAATATGGTTGAAAATGTTCTGTTCTTCAAATTATTTGTAAGTAGACTTCCTCATTTTAAAATCTGACCATACTAAGGTGCAATATCTGTCTGATAAGAAAAATAACTTTCCAAGGTCATTATTTCAAGCAATCCAATGAATTATCTCATCAGAATTTAATAGTGAGGACCAATGTATAGTCAACTCTTTTAAATCTGAACTATGTTAGAGCATATTGATTTCTATATTCTGTTGCCAAATACCTGGTAGTGAAGAAAATTTTTGCAATAGAAATAAAGTGAGCTAATTAAATTACTTATGATAGTTTAACTTGAACATATTAACTCAGTTCTTTTAAACTGTAAAAATTGATTAATTTCTATCTCTTGTAAATAATTCTTTTTAATTGTTACAGAAATTTCAGATGCAATTTTTTTAAAATAAAATTTTCATGAAAGAAATATTTTTAAAAACAACAACCCCTGTAGAGGGATGCATTTTTGAGTTGGCTCGCGTAGCGAGCTACTCCCTGTCGACATAGCCATTTCAGAGCTGTAAAATTTTTCACACATTCATCAAGGTGATCCATACGCCAAATATAATAGTTCTAGCAAAAAATGCTTTGGTTTGAGTGATTGTATAAACTTAAGAGGTAAAAACTGTATAAAATTTCATACTGTAACATTATTTTTGCCTCATACATGTATGCTTTTAAAGAAATTTTTGATTAAATACCTGTATGATGTAAAATTACTGCGTATGAATACATGTATATGTTCAAGCATGTTAGGTGGATCTAATCTTCCCATCTGAAATTTATTTATAATTGACCTAGAATACTCCCTAACACAAACACCTGATGCTCTCATTAGCTGCAGCTAGTTGTTGCTGAAAATCTATTTTTAGAATCCAGATTTGCTGTGGGAATTTTTAACCTAATGATCCCATAACACTGACCACTTCAGCTAATGTGCTGAAATTCATTATAGAATCCAGTCAAAATAATACTGAAGCCCCTTAGTGCCAACCTGTATATATACAGGAAAAGCAGTATACACTTTATTTATGAACCGAACATGGATCAGACAAATAATATTCAATCTCTTAAGATGCAAAATAAACTGAATGTATGGTGCCCATATGTATGAAAAAGCTCAATTGACTCGAGCGAGTCAACTCGCAGGCCCTTCAGGCCTTTGATTTATCTATAAGTACCGGTACAAAAAAATAATGTGATATTCTGCATTAAAAAGCGATGCTTCATCATAAGAAGTATTCAAAAGTTATGGTCAAGGTTTAAGTTTGTTATTTTTTTTTTTTGTAAAAGCGGGTCAATCTCTAAGGTCAAGGCCAATATATCAAATTTAGTGGTCACCTATGATATATGAAAGTCAGCCCCACCCACTGAAAAGTTATGGACAAGGTTCAAGTTATTGCGGACAAACGGATAAACATACAGGACAAGAACTATATACCCCGGAATCTTCGATTACGGGAGCATAAAAATTGGTCAATTTGTAGTAGAGGGATAATTATTAAGAATATGTTCTTTCATTATCAGTTGGAGACTACTGACTAACATCATATGCTGGTGAAAATCAAAATAAAACTTCATAGGAAAATTAAAAATTTTTTTTTGTTGGATTTATTAATAAGTATTATTTAGAGTACGAGTTTCTTACTGTATCAGAGATACAGGGCGGGGCTTGAGGCGAGAGCGATAGCTCGAGCCGGGCCCCGCCCTGTATCTCTGATACAGTAAGAAACGAGTATTCTAAATGACTTGTGACATGACCTTTCTAAGGACCTCACTAATTTACATGCGTATTTGGGTGTATACCTCCCAACCAATCAGATGATTTTGCAGAAAGTTGATTTAGTATCCCATTTTAAGCATTCGCAACTGAAATGCCGAGCGAGATGGACGTGCAGGTATCTATCATTTTAAAATTATTTAAGAGATGCATAAATTAATTTTTTTTCCAAAAATTTTATTTAGATTAGATTGCGCAGGGTTTTTTTCTCTATGCAGCTCTTGCTGATCTTTTGATGACCTTTTTTTTCAGTTTAAGCTACGATTTAATGCAAAACATTTTGATATATAAGAATCATGTGGGAATATTTTTGAAACAAAAATGCTTCGGGAGATCGTAGATTCTGAGAGAAATGTCCGACAATGTCCTCCACCGGTCGTCATACACAAAATTGAAATAAGCAGATGAAAGGAAAGGGGGGGGGGTATTTTACTTCACGTTTTCATTAAAATGTAGAGTAACCAAACGGGGATACAACACTCACTGGTGCCCCCATCCCACCTTTGAGCTTTTTTTCTCTTTCGCTTTCTTAAATTTTTTCAATTAAAAGGGCAGGGGGACTTCTAAACTTGTATACATACGGTTTTTAATTCATCAACAAGTAACCAAATGACGCACATAGGTGTTGGTTGATTATAAATCTACCCCCACGGAATACGATTTTCCGGTTTTTTTTGTTTTTTTTTTTGGGGGGGGTCAAAGTAATAATTTGTGAACTGCCCCACTCCCTCCTTTCTAAAATTTTTGAATCCGACATTAATATCTTTACGTTGTAAAATTTTATTTTAAATTCACCTCAATTTTCGAGTAAATACTAACAGTTCTATGGCGAATTGAACGATTGGTATGTCTGTATACGGATACAGCTTTCCGTCATCGCTAAAAATAAACCGTAGTGTATCGTTGATATTTTTCAGATACAGTACAGTTTCTGCTCATTTGCATAAGAAACGCCCACAAAAAGTGTTCTGTATCACAGTTACAGTATGCTTGACTTCAAAGGAAAACTCGCCGGGTCATGTCACAATAAACTTTTGATTTACACAACTTTTTGAATACATGTATGTCTAGCACAATATGTCTGAATTTTTTCTTCACAGCTAGTAGTGCATGCATGAATGCTTTTGCTAGGAGTAAAGATAATTTCTACGTAGTAAATTTACTGGACCCTACAATGTATCCTTGGAAGGGTTTCTATGGCGTTTTGGATTCCAACTTGTATACCATGGAACCCTTTTCAGTAGTCTGGGCCAATCCTCTAGCAGTTCATGGGGACGTAAAATCGTGGGTAATTTAATTCGCATATGGGGAACATTTAACATCTTTTAAATAATAGAAAAACTTGACAAATTACGGTTCGTATAGTACATTCATATCTAAGGGTGGCCAGCGAAATCATCAAACATTAGTCCCCAACTACTGGAATTTGCAAAGAAAACTCCAGATACTTGACTGTACTTTTTTTTTTACGTATTTACATCAATTTTTTGTGTAATTATCTTCGAAAAGTACGAAAGCCCATTGGGCTCATTTTCGAAGGTTAAAAAAATAAAAATTTTCGCATTATAACTCGGAAGTTTCGCGAATATTTTATATTCGTGATATAACGAGTAACTTTCGCGAAACTTTTGCGTTATAACGCGAAAATTTCGCGATATAACGCGTAACTTTTGCGTTATAATGCGAAACTTTGGCTGTTTAATGAAGACATACTTTGCATAAGTCGTAACTTTCTTTTGATTTTGCAATCTAGTTTATTCATTACAGTGTCAAGGAAAGCAAAGGCTATTTTGATCCTGGGCCATCACAAGCTACAATTTTAAGTTTTCTAGCTATTGAATCCATATTACCGTCACATTTTGTCTTTCTCAACGCTGTTCAAACAATTCAAAGTTTATGCGAGTTTTTCATTAGTTAAGCTTCATAATCATGAATTTTGGGAAATTCGGGTGTCTTTTTTATACACTCAATAGAGAATTTGACATAGATTTGTTAAGATCAATATCTCAGAAAATTGACAAAATAAGGTAAAATTGTCAGTCGTATCCCACCACATACAGTAGGTGAAAATCGGATGGCAAATTTTCATTTGTCTCCGTTAGATTTACTGTAGATATACGACATCGTATTTTGAGGTTGCATTATGTGGTCATTCCATTGCTTACGAAAACATTGACAATTAATTCAAACTGTAAAACTCTTTGCTGTATACCTTAATAGTTTTGATTTATGGCGCTTATCCACGAACTTTTCAATAACCTCCTCCTCCTCGACAAATTAGTAATTAACAATATCCATTTATACTTGTTATATGGCACGTTAAGCTCATGAAAGGATACATTGTTCACTCACTTTTAATCTTTGTTTAGAACTACAGGGTATAATTTTTAGTCCAAAATGATGGATTGCTTAATTTACTAGTGGTGCAGTTGTTGTGAATGTTACTGATAAAAAAGAACAGCATGAGAAAAGTGTCAAGCGGAGATTTTCCTTAAATAAAATAATCAGTCTAAAGAATTTCTTGAATTTAACAACTGAAATACATGTACAAGAAAATAAAAATTCATTTTATTGCTTGGTAGGGTTTTGAAGTAAAAAAAAACTCTGATGACTAATCTGTCCTATTCTGGCATCATTTCTCCAGTACATCTTCTGGGGAAATGATATTTTATAAATAAATTCATGAAAGTTCCCGTCAACGTTCGTGTTCTTATTTGTCAGTGAAGATCAAGGTTCCTGAATAACATTACTATATGCATATAATTTCGCGATATAACAAGAAATTTTCGCGCTTTAACGCGCAAGTTTTGCGTTAATTTTAGAAAGTTTCGCGTTATAGCGCGAAATTTTCGCGTTATTTCGCATTATAACGCGAAAGTTTCGCGTTATGACGCGAACAATTTATTTTTTAACCTACGAAAATAAGCCTACTGGGCTTTCTTAAAAAAGAAAAAGAACAATGAAGACTGTCTTTTGGAGAATAGGCAGAATCATGGACAGATCCCTTGACACACAACAAACAGTGAAGAACTTAAAGAATAAGATAGTTGATACAATATTAGTACATGTACATTAAACTTCACTGATTAAAGGTCTAGCAGTCTTTAGCAAGAATACACTTGGACATGCTCATCGGGATTTCCAACAACAAACATAACATTGCCTTTATTAGTCTGGTCCGGTTGTGCTGATTCATGAAAATGACGTAACGGCAGACCCTCCTCATCTGGACCTGTTATTGGAGATATGTAGCCGTGATCTTGCAAACTTTCCTTTCTATTTCTGTTTTGAAACAGTAATCTATTGAAGTTAGATGTTGGCAGGGTTGGTTCGGAGTGTTGGCGTCTGGATTTATGTTCCCGAATGTAGGGCAGATCAACTGAATCTGTACGTAACTTGGGAACCGGAGGTAGAGGCTCAGAGTTTAACCGTCTGGTGGTATTTGGCGAAGGTATTTTCAATGTAGGTTCACTTCTTAATCTCTGATGTAAAATTTTCCGGTGACTTGGAATTTCCAAGGACGGACTTGGAAAGTTCTTTAAGTGCAGAATTATTGGTGAACTTCTGTTGCTTGATGACAGTTTTTCATTTCTTTGTTGAGAAATGTGTTCTTTAATGTCACACGTGCATCTTACTGGTTTGGGTGTTCCACAAGGAGAATCGGTGTGAAAAATCTCACTCAGTTTTAAGGAAACGTCAGAACTTATTCTTTTCATATTGATAATACTGAGATCATCAATAGAATTGTACTCCGATTTGGTAGTGGTTACAGAAGACATGGATGACAATTGATATGACCTCTCTGAAATTGAAATTTACATAGTTTACATGCCTTTTTTTTTTTTTTTTTTTTTTTAACATGTTTTAGAGAATTCTTATTGATCACTTGATGGAATTTAATACTGTACTTACTTTGGCAAAAACAAATTAACACTAGCAGAAGAATAAAAATAATCCCCGCTAAAATGGACAGCAAAATTGTTTTGATAAGTTTCATAGCGTTGCTGTTTTCTTCCTTGATAACACTACAATGTATGGACATCTTTATAATTATATAAGCAATTGTCAGAAACTCTTTGTAAGTATAAAAATAATTAAAGAATTCAGATTATTAATTTGGACCAATTTTCATAATTTACCTCTTTTGTATAGATTTTATAACATCTTCACAAATGGGTTCAGAAGGATAGATTTTAAGACCGTGACGTTCTACCTCGAAATAAATGTCATCACGGCCGTGTTGCCATTCCCCAACCTGACATTAAAAAAGTCACTGTTTAGAGGAAGAATAAAGAAGCCAAGCGAAGTGGGTAAAAAAATGCATAATAAATAATAATCACCTCTATAAAATCCTCTTCTATGCTATATATTTTTAGCCCAAGAACACCATTCCCATTAGAGTCAAACAGATGATCATTTTTTACATCATCACCATCAATGTCCAGAGTCACATTTTTTATATGTTCCACAACTCGCTGAGGGTTATTCCTGTACTCCGCACATAACGTATCCCCATTACATATATGTTGAACTGCAGAGTAAGCACCTATTATGAGAGCTTTTGTTGACTGAATCAGGTATGATGTCCAAGGATCGAGATGCTCTGGAAACTTGTGTAAACCACGAGGGCATTTTCTGGGAAACTTTTTTCGAAAGCTGAAGTCATAGTAACAGTTCAGTTTTTCTTGCATAAAATAGATGAGCGGTTCGCTGTCCTGCATGTCTTTAACAGTTGGATCCATGTTGCTCAAGTAACTTTTATATTCGTCGCTCTGTGGAATTTTTTGTTCCGCAACTAATAAAGATCTACGCAGATTAGGATACTTTAGCATATAGTCTCTATGATTAAAACTGTTATCACCGATAAAAAGAAACTCAAATCTGTTCATATCAGCATTGATTGCCTTTGCAATCCTTGGCATAAGAGGCGACGCTATGTAAGCCAAAATATATCGAGATCTAGGATACATTCTTAAGTTAGAAACAATATTGTTGATGCTGTTGTCATCATAGTCAACTTGAACTGTTTGAGAAACACAAATGTTAAAGCTAGGAGCAAGATTCTTGATCAGTCTGACAGCAGATTCGCCATATTTTCCGTCTGAGAAGAGAACTTGAATATGTGTAGACCCTAACTTCTGAACCATCTTCAGCATAACTTGCGTGGTGTAGTTTAGCGGAGTTGCCAAACCAACGAAGTATGGATAGTTAAGTCTGTCACTCAATAAGTCGGAAGTAGCACAGCAACTAACCTATGAAAAATACAAAGAGAATTGCTACTGAAGAAATACTAGTAATTTGTCAGACGATTTTGTTAAGAAAAGAATTATACCGGTATGAAGATGACCAAGTATGGTTTGTAAAACACTCGACATACCATATGGCATTATCGAATTTTATAGCAATTTAAAGAATAATCCAAGCACTGACTGGGTACATATTCATTTTTACCTGAACCATTTTTAGCTCAGTTGTGATTTCTGCTACCTGTAGTGTCGGAGTACTTGAAAATCCACCAGCGTATCCCAATATCTTATCAGATATACCCGGAACAATGTCGTTCAGTTTTCCATGTAGCTGATGAAGCTCCAAAATGCTGTCTGAGGTCAGCAAAGGGTCATCGCAAGTATCCAGAAGGAGGAGACCAATCTGTTTGTTTGGAAAAATTTCATTCTCTCTGTTCAGTTTTTCTATCACAAACTTTGCACCTAATGCTACATCGAGACCAATTGAGCGCCTGATGGGGCCACAGTGAAGAGGCTTCGTTGACCTGTCATGGATTGGAAACGTAACAACCACAATGAAATCACCAGGTATGTACAAGGGGGATTTGTTGTCTTGATGTAGAAGACATTTTGTGCAGGTTGTATTAGGCTGGCAGACAGACTTTACTTCCTCAACAGGCATTCCCTGGTCATTGTAGAACTTGACTTTGTCTTTTGAGAATAAAAACTCTGTTGTTTGATCTTTTACCAAGCTTTCAACTTTCTTTAATGACGCTACCTGTGCAAATAACGATGAAAACATAGGTATATATACCGAAGGAATTTTTGGAAATTTTCATTACCAAAAAAGGTTTACATGTAGTTCAATAAATAAGGGAAGAATTCAATCTACTTACTTTGACAAAGTCGAAGTCTCCACTTTTGTTAGGAGCATGATAATTGTAAACCTCGTATAATAAGTTGCTCTTGTGGAAGTTTACATCACCACCTTTAGAGAATGAAATGTGCTCTGTTATGTTTTCAAACCTTGCTTTCTGATCAAAATCCTTCTCAAAATCCACAACAGTTCTTGCCGCTGTTGCTATTGCCTCTGCTCCTCGATTTTCTTTCATATCGGTACATAATCCTCTCCTTCCTGAGCAGATATCACGGTGTATATCTTTGATTATTTTGGCGACGCTGTATGTTGCCATGATCGCGTATCGCAGAAAAGTTGACGCTGGATACTTTGTCAGGAAGTTTTTGGCATTTGAATATTTATGTTTTGCAATGTACATATGTTCAAGCCAAGGATTGGAGATAACTTCCTCTTTGTACTTGCTTTCATTGAAGAAGAGGGAATTCCAATGCTCTGAAAATTCTCGTATTTCTTTGTGTGGGGGTGAAAGAACAAATGCTCCCTTCGTTGCTGGAAATACTTGACCGGAATCTGAGTTAATGAAGGTTTGAGTCTGTAAACCAATGCTTTCTGAAAAGATTATGGATGGTATTGGGTGATACTGAATAAAAGAACCGGTTCCAATGCTTTCTATAAATGCAAGCGCCATTTCAGCGTCTCCAATAAGCACAATCCCTTTTATTTTTAGAGTAGTGATATTGAGTAGAATTTCATGATAATGATTCCGTAATTTAGAATGTACGTTGTTACAGGTATACGTGGCTGCCACACAAATTCGTTTCCTTGCAAGGGCTTCACTCAGTTCACTCGCTGCATCCGTGCCATAAGCATCACCGGAATGAAATATACCAATGTATGACCATTCTAAACGAACTAAGAGTTGAACTATTGCCTATCAAAAAATGCAAAAAATATATAATTATAAAATAAACATAGGTGATGCATTCATTAAATGCACACTTAGTTTTGCATGGTATGCACATTTAAATAAATATGTAAGAGACGAAAACCTCTATCTGTATTTGATCGGATGGAATGGTTCTAAAGAAGTTGGGATAAAGCTTGGCGTTTGTTACGTCTGTCAGGAAAGCGGCTGTCGAGGCATATGACATCTGAAGGAGTTGGTACTCGTCCGGAACTGTACTTAACATCCGGGATACAACTTCAGATTCAGAACTAAAAGCTGGCCCGATTACAGCTGAACAAAAATAGAAAGATGTCTTGAGGTTTGTTTACAATGTGGGTTGATAGAGAAATAGCAAAAAGAAACTAACTGAAATAATGAAAGATAATGTAATACTCGGTACATTCACACTCTCTAAAATTTGAAAGGAGGACTCAATACTTTGATTAAAATAAATGATAGAAAACTTCAGTTCATTAAACTTTTCATTATTTCCTCTTTGTATTAAGACCATCACAATGAAAGTAAACTGTGGGCTTCCTAATAATTAGATTCTACTCCAGCTCTAACTTGAAATAAAACGAAACCCTAAAATCAGCCAAGTAACAGATGCACATTTGTTCACTAGACAAACAGTTCATCAGATACCAATGACCTTGAAGATTTCCGTTCTTATGTAAAAACCTTGGCCTACTTTCATATTTCACAATTGTATTTCCAGTGAGAATACCCTACTTTTGGTACCAATATATTAAATTTGCATTTAAGAAAAGTTTAATCTTTGCTATGTTGCCATACGGGAGCATCAGTGTTTCATAAACACATCTTGTTTTCATTGGAATACCTTTAATACACACTGGTTTGTTGGTTTTGTTTGGTGTTTTGTTTTCACGTAAAAGCTGAAGAAACTTATTGGCTTGGAGAGCAGACAAGGATGGTACCCCACAGGTTGGATAGGCTAAGATTCCTAAATAAAGAATCAAACAGTCACATGTTTATCCGAGTTATGTATATTGGGATGAGGATATTTCAGATCATGCAAATTAATTGTTTTTTTAAACTCAGGAATTGAGTTTTATAGGGTCTTAAAGCATTTGTATTTTTTTTTCTTTTTATTATTAAGTACCTTAAAAGATTTCTCTTTTTTTCTTTTTAGTAACGTTTGAAAAATATCGATTAAGTAAATGATACAATTATATTTAAATCATTCGTAAATAGTAAATCAATATCAAATTCAAAAACATTATTTTTTCATTCAGTCTGTTTTTGTGAGTGAATTTTTGAAATAAAAAGGCAAACTTTCATCATTCTGCTCCTACTCGTTACGATGATAAATTATCAATTTACCCAAAGTGACTCCAGGTATGAAGTCGATGTCATTTAGGCGCTTTAAGGCCCATTTTACAGCTTCCATCTCCATGACAGAATACACATCCACGGAACTGACATCACAGTTCACGCGCTGTTTGGTGTAGTATATATCGAAGAGACCTCCAATGACGACATCACCTGCCATAATGGCGGGAGTATCAATGACGTCACTTACAGCAGGTTGTTGGCCATGACTAATCCATAAGGAATTGATCAACATAAGCCAGAAGGAGGCAAAAGAAGACATATCCTACAAGTGATATTTAAATAGACAAAGTTGTGACCAATGGCACATATATTTTAACGTCAAGGAATTAACTTTTGTGACATCAATTTTTTGTTTGAAAGCATCAGCTATATAGTTTTTCAACGCTAGATCTAAATTTCTCTTCCGTAATCGATTCGAAATTATTGAATGTAATATCATTAAAATAATTTTCATATAAATAGAAAACAAATCTTTTTCTCTTCCTGTTTTACAAGAAATCACAGTGTCGCAGAATACGTATATATATATATATAGTTTGACTTCCGTTATTAATTTTGTTGTTGTTGTTGTTCAAATAGCACAGCCATGCAGATCTGGAAATAAATGGAACCCACTCAAAATGATAATGGATCGATCCTAGATAAGAAAAGATATTTTCTCGAAACATTAAAAATTAATTAGATAAAAGGGGAATATATATCTATCTTAAAATTATAATGGGCGCAAAAGGTGTTGGTTCCGTTATCGAGGTTTTTTTTTTTTACTTTCTGAGCTCGAAAACTTATTCAAAATAAATAAAAAGCTGCAGACCTATAGATCTGTATGCGCACGAAAAAATGCGTTGTTTCTCTATTTATTTTTAATTATGTTGCCATCTCAATATTTTACAAACCGTGCATGCGCGGATCTAAAGAGAGGGTGGGGGAACCTTGGATTCCCTTAGAAAACGCGGGCCTTTCCTCGAGAACACAGATGTATGTGAAATTGATATGAAAAGTCCTGTTATGAAGTTTTAAAAGCCAATGACTAACACACCTCCCACCCCCGGAATAGGTTTTTCATGTTTGGGAAATGAGTTAAGGTGTTTTTGTTTTTGTTTTGTTTTTGTTTTTTGCTGCTTGTCAAGAAATTTCTGGGTTGGAAATGTTTTTGACTGGGGTGGAACCCCCCCCCCCTGGAAAAAATTTTGGGGTCCGTGCCTGCCGTTTCTAGCATATTAGTTTAAAACTTCCACAAACAAAAAAAAATTCCCAAAACCGTTGTTATATAGCTCTTCTGGGACTGAAATTGCGGCTAGTAAATAAACAGACCGTATCTTTTACTGAAAATAAAAATAAATTGCTGAAAATTTAAAAGTTCTTTAGATGATTACTTGGAACTTTTGTAACGTTGATTTTTTTTTTTATTTATGACCGGATTCTTTCTAGATTCCAAATTAAGTTTAATCTTCTATACTCAACATGAACACACAAAATAAAAAAAAATTACTGAAAATTTAAAAGTTCATATCACTTGGAACTTTTGAAGTTGATTTTTTAAAATGTTCCGATTCAAGTTTTTTCAAATGGTTTAATGTTCCCCTATACTCACATGAACACACACGCCAATCAATAAAATACTGAATTCACTTCCTAACAGTGTCATATCACCGCGGATATATAGAAGTCGTTGTAAAATGTTCCGATACAAGTTTTTTCAATGGTTTTTGTTCCCCATGCTCTGATCACACGCACTTGCAGTATGGATACGTTTCTCACGTTTAAATAATGGCCCTATTCGGTATAATAAAAATACACCGAATAAGGCCCTTCTTTAAACGTGAGAAAAAGTACAATCTGCTTGCATATAACGACATATAGATGTGTTTGACGGGGAAATTTTATATTTTTGATATATTATACACTCTTACATTTTTTTTTTCATTAAAAAAGGGGGTATTATCCATACTTCAGGTGCCTGTGGCTCTGATATGTTTTTCAGAATTATGTCCAACAATTGGCGAGTCGAAGTACCTAACTTTACGTGAAATGTTCCTTGAATCGGTATTTTTCATTATAGAATGACAAATATGATGAATTTGCTAATTAACGGATTAAAGCAAACTCAACCCCAAAAAGTGTATAAAGTTTATGTTATCAATGAATACTTGGTTGAGGGATGAAAAAAAGGATACTGGCTAAAAAAAACTTGCACGGTCACCTAAATTATAATGCAAAAGGAAAATTTAGAATGTAAATGGAAAAATATACAATTCAAATGATTTTTTTACAATACAAATGGAAAATATAGAAAACCAAAAGAAAATGTTCAATTCGAATGGAAAATTATAGAATAAAAATGGGAAATTATAGAATACATATAAAAATTATACAAAATAAATGCAAAAAATATGCAATGAAAATAGAAAATAATAGAATATGAATAAAATTATATTGTACAAATGGGGAAAAAAATATACAATACAAATCGAAAAGATCAAATATTGCAACGTTTGAAATGCCATAGATAGCAAATTCATCTTCAGCTTGTATTTTTATAAATAGAATACAATATATAGATATTTGTACTAATAAAATATTTGAATATAAACTGCATCCTTAGTTGCATGTTACCTTTTAATGCATGTATACATCCACTCTTCGTAAACTCTTACTTACAATAACAGAGAGACACTAATCTTTTCAAATATTTCGCCAATGTCCATTCTTTTATCACTACCGTTTAATTTATTAAATTGACCGGAATTTATTTATAATTCCTAACAAGGATATTCAATGTTTACTTTAGTTTTCAAAGCAAACACATCCGGGTACCACCAAAGTGATACTACGTCTGTATGACTTTGTTATCTAAATCTGGAGTTCAGGCTCTGGTCGCTATTATAACCGAACTGGGATACAAAATTAAAGTGTTGCATTACCAAAATTGGGCGTATTTAATTAACATAAAGACATATTTACCTTGTTTGGAAATGTACAACCAAAGATTTTGAATGGAATTTGGCACAGAATTTACCCTATCTATAGCTTACCGATGATGCTCATGTAGCTTCTGAAAGAAGGAAGACGTTCAAGTTTCAACCTACATTAGATTCATACAAATACATGTACTTTTTGCGAAAAAAAAATGCAAGTATTTGCAGCATACACCCATCTGATTCTGATATGTATACTTTACATTTTTCTAAGAAATAATTTGTCACTCATTCTGCAGGAAGAATTTAATAACTCTTCTTGGCTCACATACATGCCTCATACATGCAACCATTGGCGCCAACATGTGTCAATATGTTCTGTTTGACGACAATAAATTGTGAGAAAAAGTTCATTTTGACAGCCATTCTGTCGAAAAAGAAAACTTTGTCTGGGCACATGTCAGAGATGTGTATATATGTGTTTGCTAACTGCTTTAATGTGGCCCTGATCATTTTGTTGTTGTTGTTGGTGGTGGTGGTGGTGGGGGGGGGGGGTTGAACAGATTGTCATTATTGAAGAGGGCTTAATTACTGCAGCCAGTATGTAAGATAATGGCCAATAATTTAAAAAGTGAGGATTGATACATATGCAGAAATTGTTGACAAACGGTGCAAGGCGACAAAATGTACCGTCACAAAGCCTAAAATCAATAGGGGGTTTCTTCAGTGAGAAAAACTGTGGCAAGTCAAACGTTGCAATATTCGATCTTTTCCATTTGTTTTGTAAAATTTTCCATTTGTATTGTATAATGTTTATTTGTATTCTATAATTTTCCATTTGTATTCTATAATTATTATTTGTATTCTATAATTTTCCATTTGTATTGTATAATTTTCATTTGTATTGTATAATTTTCATTTGCATTGTATAATTTTCCATTTGTATTCTACAATTTTTCATTTGCATTGTATAATTTTTCATTTATATTGTAAAAAATTCATTTGTATTGTATAATTTTTCATTTGTATTCTATATTTTCCATTTGTATTGTATAATTTTTCATTTGCATTGTATCCGATGGATTGTTTTTTTTTTTGGTTTGTTACGAAGGATTTCATTGGTTTAATCTAATCATATTGTTATGGGTCAGAATAACCCTAAATGCCAGCAAAGATCAATCACACAATTTAAACTTAACAATAATTTATTAACATTAATATATACAAATCATAAAGTACAAACTTAGCAAGAATCTAAAAATACATACATCAGAGTGTCCGTTGCTGTGCACAATGTCCAGTGTAATTATATCCCAGTCTCTTTATACACCTGTACATCAATGTTACTTATACGACAAGTTATTATTTATGCATCGAATTGACAGGGTATTTATACAGTACTATAAATCTAGAAAATTCTAGAAGTTGTAAGTACATGATATTACTGGAAAGTTCTGGACATACACAAAGTTCAAGAATGTTCAAGAAAAAATGACCGAACATGTTGACCACTCTGGAATGTTCAAGAAACTTAATGTTACTAATAATATACATGATGAAACAATACAAATACAACACACCTCACAACACCTCCCCCCTTAAAAAGTTTGAATGTCAATGAAAACTTATATTGTTAAAATAAAATATATGTACATTAATACAAATCTAATTTGTTCATGATACTCTGGACAAGGCATCTGCAATAACATTGTCTTTGCCTTTGATATGCTTAATTGTTATGTTATCTAGTCAGTCTTTGATTTTTGTTTGACAATTTATGCAAATATATCAGGGGGTTGTGATCAGTATATACAAGAATTGGATGCAATGTAACATTCAGATAAACATCAAAATGCTGTAAGGCTAACAACAAAGCAAGGCATTCCTTTTCAATGGTGGAATACTTTCGTTGACATTTTGTAAGTTTCTTTGAAAAATAAGAAACAACTCTATCTACCTTATCACTATGTTCTTGAAACAAAGCTGCCCCGATTCCAACATCACTAGCGTCAACAGTTAACTTAAATTGCTTAGAAAAATCTGGAGTCGACATAACTGGATTGCTCATAAGGACAGATTTGATTTTATGAAAGGATTTTTCACAGTCCTTTGTCCATTCAAAGTTAACCTTCTTTTGTAAAAGATTTGTAAGTGGACTAACTACTGAGGAAAAATTTGGAAAAAATTTTCTGTAAAATCCAGCCATGCCCAAAAACCTCATTAACTCTTTCTTGTTTGTAGGAATCGGGAACTTTGCAATAGCTTCCACTTTAGCCATAATGGGTGTAACATAACCTTGATCTACTTTATGGCCTAAATACTCTACATAAGCATGACAAAATTC